ACGTTCTTTGCTACTCTTCGTTAACATATGGTAAAACCAATGGGATTCCTCCAGTAGCAAAGAAAGGTCGCCATGTTCTGGGTTCGTTCGTCGTGTATCCGTTCTCTTCCAAGATCCTCGCTATTTTCCGGTTCACCTCTTCTGATTCCCTAGTGCATGTCCGCGCCTTCGTAGCGATAAGATTTCTTATCACGTTAGCCTTCATATAGAGTGGATGCGCACTTCGAGAATGCAGAAGGATATTCTTTGACATCGGTTTCTTGTACCACTCAATCTCCTTAGTGCCATGGGTTATTCGGACCTTCGTGTTGAGGAATGGAAGGAATGTGTTGAAGTGTCTGTCTATACTGTACAGAAAATAAAATCTGCCAGTTACGTGGGACAGTTTACTTGGTCACATGCGAAGGATGCAATCAGAAATATGTTGGTGAAACAATGCGACCTTTACACAAAAGGATGGATGAACACATACGAGCTTTGCGAAATCCCTCCTCTTACCCCCAGAGTGGATTTTCGCGGCATCGTACGATGTTTCACCAACAAAGCACCTCCCTGCCTGAAAGTAACGGTTTTACACCGCGATAGAGGATAGCTCATTGGAAAGGAAGTTGCTTGAAGCGATCGCTATCAAGCGATTATCCCCCGAAATAAACAACAGGGATGAGCTGATGGAGGCAATGAGGCTGATTGCATAGCGGTCGTGATAAGGATGTCCTCGCAATTGTCACGCGCGTCGCATTCTTAGTCACTTTTAGTTGCATTGGAGGTATCGCTCGGGGGAGGGGGGGGGGGGTCGTTAGTAGTGCAGTGTTGTCAGTTGTAGGCATTGAGTGTATTGTATTACAGACCTTAGCAACTTTATTGTTAAGAAGGACTCCAGTCTGGTTAGTACTTCGACCAACTATTGTTGTAAGATTTGTAGTACTATGTATGCTTATTTTATTTGAGGTCTGAAGAAGCTGTTACCACAGCGAAAGCTTACCAATGAAAATTGTGTTTCGAGTACTCATTGAATTTTGTTGAAGAAGACATTATAACGCATGAGGCTCAGGGATAGTTCGATTCTATCATAGCTGACGACATCCATTAATGCATCCTTATCATGCAGGACTTCTCTGTACAAACATACGGCAGTGACTTGAACAGATGGAGCGCCTAGATAAGGGATTTTGTGTTGTAACGGTATGCTCACATGGTAATAAATGCGAATCCCTGCCATTGCCGCCCGGAACGAGAATCCTCCACGTTACCCACTGCGCCATTCGACCAAGACTAGTGCACCTCCAGTCCATTAAAGAACCCTTTCAAGAAACCATTCACTCTCAAGTACGTGACCCGAGTGAAACCCCATTTGCGACAATTTTTCACCTCGTTTTCAATGGGCTATCTGAAAAGAATCTCCCCCAGCAACTAACCAGAGTTGCAAGTGATTTGGAGTACATAGTGGCCTGAAACGAAGCGTTTACTTAGATTTCGTTTCGCTCCCTTCTTGGCATTGCTGGAACCGTTCAGCTGATTTGTGGTCCATGTACAAGGCCCTACAAAATGCAAAAAAAAAACATTTCGAAAAAGCGGGGCACGCTTTGAACGACCTGCCTTATAAGCTCTAATGTTCATTTACCACGAGTAGAAAGAGGAAAACCGAAGTCACAACTTTCTACAAAGGAGAGGGCTCTACTGTCCTTCCAGCTCGATCCTCGGCGATCCTGTTACTGCAGCAAAAGCAAATTTTCGTAGTAAAATCTTCAACGGGAGGTTTTTCGTTAAAATGGACTTACAACGAATGCGCTATGCAGGATGGAAAGAAAAAACCTGTAGCCCTTAAAACCATAAAGGTTTCTACTTCGCGTTATGTCTGATCAAACTTGTGTCCATTGAAATACAATAGTTCTCGCCTAGCAAAAATGTTCCGCGTCAATTCTGGTTCGAAGCCACCAGTAGAGCTTAACGATACAGTACTTTTTATAGACCCTCCCGATGGAGCGATGAATCCCGCTTACCGCTTTGCAAAAGATCGCTCGTGGACGGTGCATGCTATCATGCACTTTTGAAGAACTGAAGCTTAACTGAAGTTCAGTGGTCCATGCAGCGTTCTCTCACAGCACGCGACACTCCCGCAAATATTGGGCACATATAGTTGTACGGGAACTTCTTCCTGGAAAGGGTTCGTACCGACCGGGCGTGATGCTTGACCCTGGCCACCGCCCCCGTTTCACCATCCCGATCATATACCATTTTCACTTTAAATTCACCCTTTTTCAAACCAAATTCACCCATATTCAAATCAACTCACCAAATTTGATATTTTTTCGAAATTTTTGCATCTTCGAACTGCTAGTGAAGCCCTGCCCACTACGAGAGGCTCCGCCCACTTCAAAGGAGCCCGCCCACTTTTCAAATATGGCGCAAGTCGGCAGTATAGGGTCTTGGCTTTCATGCTAGGGTCTCGTTCGTCACTCGGAACAAACTTTGCCTGATTTTCTTGTTCCGAGTGACGAACGAGACCCTAGCATGAAAGCCAAGACCCTATACTGCCGATTTGCACCATTTTTGAAAAGTGGGCGGAGCCTCTTGCAGTGGGCGGGCTTCACGCAGCAGCCCGTAAATGTAAAAATTTTGAAGTATCAAAATTCCGCAGGAAGCAAGTGGGGCATGGTCAAGGGGCGGAGCTCGCAGTGGTGTCTGCGTGATCTGGTTGATGAAAACCCCGGCCTATGTTCCATTTGATTTGAAAAGTGATGGTGAATCTGATTTGGAAAGGGGTGAATTTGGTTTGAAAAGGGTGAATTTAAAGTGAAACTGGTATACACAGCTGTTCATGCTGCCTATAAACCTTGGCGAAATCCAGTGTATGGGCGATCACTAGGCGCATTCTAGGCAACTGGTAGAACAACATCAATTGTATGATTAGATTTTATTTTCAACCACTGATTATCGATAAATTAAATGTAAGAAGTTCATAAACGATCGAATTTCCCAGTTTCTTAGTAATTATATCTTATGACAAAGTATTCGGATTTAGTTCGAACTAAAACAACACTAACAAACAATGAAAAGAAATGTCAAGTAAATAAAACGAAGGTGCACCAGAGCGAACGAAAAAGGACAACACGGAAAGAACACAGGTGGATTCTTCACGAAAAGTTTGAACAAGATCTCATCTCCTCTTGTTGTACTTGTTTCTCCCTCCACGTCCACGTCCAGGCTTGTTGAGTCCACGGCCATGCGCCAGGTCTTCCTCCCTCACGAAATTGTCTGAGTCTTCCTCGCCTAAAGGTATTTTACAATATAAAGAGATGAATAAATAAATTATGTGACCAAGACCACGCTCCCTAAATGCCCAGTCTACGCATCCTTGGCGCAGAAAAGTTTAAGGAGATGAAATAAGGAGGATAAGGAAATACTTTAGCAAGTAATTCCAGGAGGTGAACTAGAAAACCAGAAATGAATAAGACGAGTGTTTGGATAACATATTGGTTGCCCGCAACATTACGATAACAACATTTTGTCCTGCCACATTCAATTTCGTCAATGACATCCATGTTTTCAAAATTGTGCTGTCCCGGAGCCTCATTGCAATCTGAATGTTAGAAACATGAAAGAGGCGCCAAAATTTCTACTGCAAAAGACTCAAAAGATTCGAGAGAATCCAAAAAAGTCCAAAAGTTTCAGCAAAAATTTTTTTGTTTATACTCCTTCTTCGGAGATTTCGGTGTCTAGCACCTCCTTCAGCGATCTCTCTATATGTTCTTGACTGGTCTGCTTCTCCGATATCTGCCGCCGCCGCTCTACGTGAAAACTGCGTCGTCTAGTCTAGTACACAGTACCGAAATATCCGAGTAAGGAGTATAAACAATGAAATTTTTTGCGAAAACTTTTGGACCCTCTTGAATCTTTTGAGTATTTTGCAATAAAATTTTGGCGCCTCTTTTATGTGTTCAACATCCAGACATCCACGTTGTTTCGCACTATATCACAAGCCCTCTATGCAGCAACAGACCGAGGAGTGGATTTGCTCTGCATCCGATAGCGCTAGTGAGAGATTTTCTCCCATATCGGCACCGCTTGTGCGACTGCAGCTCAGTGTACTTGAGGTACAGGCGAGAATGCTCCACATTCTTATCGGATTGAGGCCATCAACGCAGCTACAATAATCTCTCAGTATATTAAAAAGCTATCCCTAGACGGGACTTGAACCCGCATTTCCCGGTAACAATATGAGTGCGCTAGCCATTACGCCACCGACGCCACCTTCACCCTCTCAGCTCAGTGACTCACCCATGTTAGCACTCCTACGTTTAACGCGATGAACCGATTAGCCAAGGAGAACTTGCTCACTCAGGAGAGATTCTATCTCGAATGCCACGCTTTGAATTCTGCCCATAATTTAGCACTCTAGTGGTAACTTTCGGCGTTAACACACGCCGCACTGCGGACCGCCGCACTGGGCGCATCGCCGAATCATTTCATGATTTTCCATAGGTAATTCATGGATAATTTCCTGTCCCTTTTCCATCGCTCATGAGGTGGGTATTGTCCGTAACCAAAAATGTTTTCTGAAAACGTAAGAACTTGAAAGAAGAGACAAATATTAATCAAATAAAACACCGCTTAGAGACGAAATCATAACACACTGTGTGTCAAGCGCTTCGCAACGTGTTAAGCAGTAGCTATAATATTGAAAACCGTTTGAAAGGGTCATTCAAAGCAGAACACGTGCAAAACTGGGACCAGCTTCATCAGAATATAACCGTAATTGAAATTAATTCGAAACCCGAGCTCTTTCCCTTTTAGGCAGGCAGAACACCTCATTTCCATTCATCAATGCTCCCAGTTTTGTGAAAGGAATCCTAAAGTCCTTTTATCTTATGGTTACAGCGTCAACTGAAGAATTACCCAAATATCCATACAGCGCTCCTCATCGTCATTCCCAACCACGAAAATAGAGAAGGCTGCTATAAGGGAAAAAAAAGAGATAAGGTGAAAATGTTACGGTTATTTTAATGATGAAACACCACGTGAATCACGTCTGATTCTGACACCGCATCAGCGGTGAACATTGTCCCGATCGAGAGATAGTGATCGACTTAAAGAACTTAAAAAATAGACATGAATGTCAATAGTAACAACAGTGGAACACTTCTGGTCGAACTGTTTCAAACTTTGAGACAACTGTTTTGTTATGATAACTGCTGTTTAACGCCGCAGTACGCGTTCCGAATGTTATCACAAGAATGCTGAGTTGTGGGCAAAAGTCGTGCCCCAGGCGGGAGTCGAACCCGCACCTCACGCTTTCCGGGCGAGTGCGCTATCCGTTACGCCACCAGGGCCGCTTTTACCCTCTCAGCTTAACGGCTTTTATGCCGTAGCCTTACAGCACTCACACGTTTAACTTGGTGAGAGGGTAAAAGCGGCCCTGGTGGCGTAACGGATAGCGCACTCGCCCGGAAAGCGTGAGGTGCGGGTTCGACTCCCGCCTGGGGCACGACTTTTGCCCACAACTCAGCATTCTTGTGATAACATTCTGAGACAACTCTCCAGCTAAAATTCCATGCAGAATTGTTAGATACAAGAATCGCAAAGGTGGGACATACGAAATGAATTCGGTATTATTTCGCAGAGTATCGTATCTTTCGCATCATTCCCCATCATAAAATATGCCAACTTCAGTACTCACTGGCAAGGTACCGTAACTCAAGACGGTCTATTTATATTGTAACTCTGTAACAGCCGCGTGAAAAACCCCAGCGCTGACGCCGAAACCACGCCAATACATTGCATTTCGTCTGGATTAAAGCAGACCGGTGTATTTCGAATATGTCGTTATCAAGATAGGTCTAATCTATCTTTCTGTTACTCTTGCTAAGTGGTGGAGCTGCACGTTTGGTGGCGATCAATATAGGATGGAAATGTCTTTCCAAGTTCGCTGAAGTAAATATTAAAGTGAGAGCAGTACGATCGACCTAATAGCCTCATCACTTCGAAAGGTGGAATAAGTGGTTCATGTACATAGCTTTGACACATGCTATGGTTGGCCGCGCTCTTAATGAAGAGTTTTCAACCCGGAACTCAGATAAAAGGCTTTCGGGTTGGAAGGTGATTACTAACATAAGAATCTAAAATGTAGCGCGACTTACTTTCACTTCCTTCTTCATCCTCTTCCTCGCTTTCCTCTTCACTTTCATCGCTACCACTTGATGGCATGTTGTTACCTTCCTCCTCTCCTTCATCATCTCCAGATTCTGCCCCAAGATCTCCTAAGAATAAACTCTTGATAGACTGTGGCGTTTAGCCATTAATATCAAATACCGCAATTAATATCAAAAAACCAACTGAATTCAATCTCTCCCTCCTCTTGTTCATCATTCTCGTTAATCTTGGCATGTTCGGGTAGCTCATTCTTCTCTTTTAGACGCCGGGCCTCATCTGGTGTGTACTTGAGAATAACATCGCCCTAAAAGAAAGTTGTTTCAAGTAAAATGCCAATCTTACACCCTTTATTCATGCAGAAATTATGGAAAATCTATTTATTTATTCATTCATTCAAAATGCATTCTTAGAACGCGCTGCACCACCACAGCCGTGAGTCATATTGTGGTTGTGATCTATAACAAGTTTCTCGACGCCTTTAGGAAAAACTGCCCCGAATTTCCCAATGATTGGGGGGAGGGGGTAGTTAGATCTTATTCTTCGACTTTCCAGGCTCTGACGAAAACGATAACGCCGCAACGTTATCCGAATAAAAATGTTGTAACATCTTGGTCACTTTTTAGTTGTTACTACACCAGACTTCCCTAATTAAGCCAGTTTCTTATTGACTTTTTATTCTACGAGAGCAGGTTTGGCTGAAAATCGGTTTCCAGGGGCAGTCTGACTCCTCTTCTGAACGTGAATGTCGCTTGAAAGTTTCTGGCGCCCATCCCAAAATACCCCAGATTACATATTTGCTAAAAACCTCCCCAAGAGGCAGTTTCACAATATGAAAACATTTCACATCATCACAGTTGTATAGGGTGCCAGTATAGTTAAGGATGGAGGAAGGGGGCACATGTGGCAGCGGAGACTTTTGCGACTTTTGCGCACCTTTCCGTGAGTAATGATTCCTTCCTTCGCTAAGTTGAGGCCTTAGCAGAAAGAAAGATCTTTATCAAGCAACCAGAATGGTAATGTCTCGTCTGGTCGCCTGCTCTAGCGCACCGCTAGGCAAGAAACAGCCAGAAGTCAGCGGTGCACGCGCCGGGTCGAAGCACGTATCCGGGAGCAAGTAGCGATTTCATGCTGAATAATTGTCGTACCCGCGATGATGAGACCAAATAACTCCGCAAATGTAGGTGAACAGTATTCATTTCTGTTCTGGCTCTGGCAGTATCAGAAAAGATCGTATGCCAAGATTTATAGGAAAGTGTAAGGTGGACATTCCAAAAGTGATTTGCTTGCAGGCAAGATGGTTTATGGTTTGACAATCACGATAGACGACTGTCCTGAGTGAGTTCTTCAACTGCATGAGGTGGAGATTGAATGAAACTGTTGAGGTGAAGACTCTAGCCATTTATTCGTACTGTGAAGTATAATAAATATAAAAACACACCTTATCATCCTGATAGTCCCGCAGTCCTACAAGAATAATGTCACCGGTGTTAATCCACACCTTCTTTCTCAGTTTTCCTCGAATGTGGCACACCCTTTGTTTACCATCGAAACAGAAGGCCAACACGCGACCGTTACCAAGCATTTTTGATACTTGACCATACTTCTAACAAAATGGATGATGAATTATACGACTGTAAGATACTTGACGTCAAGCATATATAATGGATGACTCACCTTGTCCAACATCCTTCGTGTCAAGTTCCCTTTTCATGAAATCGTTCTCATTCTTTCCTCTTCTCCTGTTTTTGCCTCCCTTTCCCTTATTCTTTGGCATAATTTATCGGCGACGGCCTAAACACGACAAGCAAAAATAAATAGGCTAAGGACGGTGTAATAACGCTGTTGTATAAGAATGACACAATTTAACATTCACGATATACTCCGTAAAAGCTACACATCAACAAGTAATCAAGGTGAACTCTACAGAACCAAACCGTTAGGTAAATATTGAGCAATCCCATCAATTGTTATGAAACTCCCAAATTCAATCGGGCGCGACATCTCGTCCAGCAAAGTCTAATGTCCAACCCCCGACTCCACCTCTTCATCAAAATGTTTTTGAAGCAAACTGACCTATCTTCCACTTCTCATGACCTCGAGGAAACAAAAGACGGTGAAACATCACTTACGTTACGATTGAAAAAACTGCAAAACCTTCGGGAAGTCAAAAATAGGTATCGTTCTTGTTGACTTCCCTTTTGCGCTTTGGGGGAAGTTGACCCGGCTCCCGTTCCAATTCCTTGCAAAACAGAGACAGTTATCACCCGCCCCATACTAAGATCCAGTGCCGAGACATTTTCTGCTATGATCGGACCTAAGCTTGTGGAAAAACTGAAATATTCGATTCCCCATTAGGACCTGTAGCCTGAATGTCCCACTAATTATTCACTTACCTTTTTCGAAAAAGCAATCCAATACCTCTATTTACGAGTTTATTCACCCCAACCATAATCTGCATTCATTTTTCTCGCTAAAACAGAAACAAAATCTTTGTTTGAAGTGAAATACGTAGTGATGACTGCAAGAGCTGCGTCAGGCAAATTCTCCAATCTTTCAGTGGCTGCGCCGCGCTCTCTTCATTGGAGCGTGTCATCAGTAGGATAGCGCGCTATCTTTCGAAGGCAATACGTTCCAATCATAAAATTTATTCCCCCCAATTTGTTCACCTGCTGTGCTAATGCCTCGCAGCGTTGGGAAGAGAGAAAATGCGCGATTCAGTTTCGAGTTCAGGACTTTCTCGCTCTCTTTGATGTGACATACAAGCGGCATAGTTCATGGTTGACTCAGCGACATTGCACTGTTTGATAAAGCTGTTGAAAAATCGTCAACTGTTTCGAGACTTGTGACTGACAAAGTGCACCCTCAATTTCGTGGATCGCGTTACTTGCCGAAGATGGTCAGTAGCTGCAAGGCATGCCACCTTCTTGACTCGGAGTGCACGGGAACGAGGCTGAAGGGTCCGTCTCCCCTATCCGCACGCGCAGTCTCCAAAGTGCAACACTCGAAGTGATCCGCGATCTCGCAACGGAGCACGCGTTCACCGGCAGAGAGCAACCAGAAGTGAGAGGGCGCAGACAAGTGGCGTTTTTGGCTATTGTTAGACGTTTGACTAGCCTTGCGGCAGTGCGTGTGGGCTATGGAGACGGCACCCCTTGTTGCTACTCTCCAGCCCCGTTTCCGTGCATAAGCCACTAAGTGTAGGACCGGAATAATTCGAAAACCTACCGTATCTTTTTCGTGGCGGGATACGCATCTACTCTCACAACGTTTGCGCGACACGTGCGGCGCGCATCATCAAGGTAGCATCTTGCCATCTTGATGATGCGCGCTTTCAGATGGGGATTTTGGTTTCGAAACTTCGTCTAAAACTCCATTTTGCGTCTGCCAACGGAGCAAGAGGCTTTATTTCTGCGTATCATGATAGAGCTCTCTCGTCTAATCTGATGTGGTCAATGTGGGACATCACTGCACAACTGAATACATCCCGTGGGAACAAATCAACTGACATCCTAGAGTTATACGATACTATGCCATAGTTACTGCTAACAGAAACGACAGATCGATCCATGAAAATCGTGAAATTTTTCCGTCCTTGGACATTTAAGAGACCGCGTGGTAGTTTTCCCTGAAACATTTGCCTCGTATCTACAGGCGTTCATCTCCGAATAAAATTGCCTTGTGCCCGAAAAGGTGAACATCATTGAACTTAAATCGAAGCTAGTATAGAAGTAGGTGTATGGAAGGTAGATTTGCGACACCGCGTTTCGCTGATATCCTTCGGGCCGAGCGTTCCTGATGTAGGATTTATTATTGCCCCTTAAAGAAGAATGATATTAAGTTTTATGGTGTAGCCTATCTCAAAACCACAACGATAAATGGGGAAAAGCCGCTGTCTGATCCCATGAAAAACAGTTCCTTTTGAGAGGTTTGGTTCCCGTGATCATGTAACGATTGCCTTGTGCACTTATTCGGGTACGGAAAACCTTTAGTCGAATGCCCTTTACCTGGAAAACACTGACAAGATTGGCATTTCTCACGTAAGCCTTGTAGAAGCATGAGACCTCATGAGATTCAATCGCTCTTTTATCAAAATATTTTACAGCTTTGAAATGAGTCCATCATGTCCTTTGGAGCATTTCCGTTCTTACTGTGAAGTAGATTTCGTGCTCCTCTTCGAGTCGGTCATAAGTCTAAAAGAGTTGCTTCCAAGCAGGCTGCACAAAAATGAAAAAATGGAAGTCACGCTTCTGTGGCTACTCCATGTCGCCGTTCGAGTGAGGAAATCGGTATACTCTATGCGAGCGGGAACATGAAAGTGGATTTCAATTCGCACAGCAATGGAAACGCGGAAGCACTACATCCTTGACAGAAAGAACAGAACTCTCCCATGAATCCATGCGGGTCCCGCCACGAGAAAGATACGGTAGGTTTTCGAATTATTCCGGTCCTACACTTAGTGGCTTATGTTTCCGTGCACGTCTGACCGTAGACAGTGGCAGGTTAGTGCAGCTGCGGACCTATTCATCTCACGCACGGCGAGGACCAGGATCTACAGAGGCGAGTGCCCAGCTTTTTTCAAGCCCTACTTGAGGGGATGGCACACGGGAGAGCCAGCAGGTTGTCCTCCATCAAGTTCAGCGGCCTTGCACTTATCGAACTCTTACCTTGCGTGAATATGACCCACATTGTCTTAAGGGCATTGTTCGATGTACACATCTTTACCGGGCAATGACGCAAATGACAAGGGGTTGATGGCCTTCTCATGAAGTTATAGCTTCAATAGGAGCAAATATCACTATGAGCCCAAACCGTAAGATAGGGAACTTCTCATGCCTGGTAGGAAGGAACGCTGGGTCATTTTAGGCACTGAGCCTTATAAGAAAAAAATGCTCTCGTTGCTGCACAAATTTCATTTTCCAACAATTACCATCGGATGTAAAAACGTCCGATAACATAGTTCGATTGGATTCTCGCTGTCAAAGGTTACTTAGTCTTCACAGGAGAAAATCCTGATTGCGGCCAATCACTCCTTCTGACAATGGGATGAGAACAAAACTACAAAATCTAGTATCTTCACTGTATCAGCATCTACCCCCCCCCCTCTGCCGCCGAGCAGAGCCCCCTCGGAAAGCACTGAATCGCTCGCTTGAAGTGACATTGAATATAACGCTCCAATGCGAAAACCGCGACGTAGCCGCGGAAGGTTTCAAATGCTGATCTCATTCTTGTGATGGCTTGAGAAGTTACGAAACTAGGGGTTGTTTGATTCAGTTAAGCTCATTTTCCGATTAGTTTCTGTTTCTAGAAGTGGTGAATGACCTGAAATTTATTTGCTGTAATCTACGAACGACTTGTTTAGTGCTAAACATGTCTCCACGGCGCAAATGTAGCAGAGTTCTGCTACCTGTTAGGATTCATCGACTGAAGACAGTTTCCACGCTCAAGCAATTTGTGGGCATCCTCCATTGTACACGTAGTTTGGCCCACACTCTCGAAGATCATGCCTTTTCTTACACCTTAGGTAGGTACGAAAGCGCTGCGACTCTCAGAAGTGGCAGTCCTGACGTCTCCTGGTTGTCACGCCCACCGAAACTCAAATGCAATGTCTGTCACGAGTTCGGTTTTTAAGTTTTTCGATTTTTTTTTCACTGTTGGATGATATTAGCTAGATGGCGCTGAGAAACGACTTAATGGGCCAGAGGCGGCAAAATATCGCTTCGCTGGCATAAAACGAGCTGCTCCGGAACTCGTTCATAAGAGGCTGCCACTTCCTTACTCAGGGTGTACTCCATGTAACTTTATCTCTCCCGGACAGTCTTCTAACCACTATGGGTTCATACGAACGCTGTTATCCACAATATACAATCGCGGGCTTCTCTTCCAAACATACCGTGTCCGCGTTATTCCATCTTCCGACGAGGAAACCAGAACTGTATCATTACAAATAAATAACCCTGAGATTGGGTAGGCGTGGCCACATGTTTCAACTAACCTGAAGGTGTCTGTGCTTCTGGTGAGATATTTTCATCTTGACACAACTTGTTGTCGTCTCTCTGTCCAACACTGAACAAGATCATCCCGTGACATGTTCAAATGCCACGCCTGCTCCGGCCCAGGGATAAGGAATGTATCTGTGCTGCATCACCGACTTCTGCCAGTTGGTATGACTCCATGGACCTTTTAGAAAATAAACGAACGCCTTATCGTTCTGACGTGCCACTACGCTTACTCTGGAAGGTTGGTGGACGAATTTTCAGGGTGAAGCAAACCCTATACTCGAGCTCTTGAGACTAGGAGCTTTCTGAGCGCTGGTTTCCAGCGACTTACTCTTCAATAACTTTCGGTCTTGTTCAGGCTGTGTTCATCCAGCTTTCTCTGGGCAGTTAGAGCTGTGCAGAAACGCTGCTATACGCTGGCGTTCGCCAGATCGATATCCATACTTCCCTAGCAGGTGGCGTAAGACGGCGTCCGCTAGCGACTAGGAAAGTATTATGTCGATATAGCGAACGTCGCGTGCAGCGGCGTTCCCGCGGGCAGTACTGCTAAAGCTGAACTTGCCCGCGAAAACGCTGGCGCTTGCTAGATCGATATTCATACTTTCCTAGCCGCTGGAAACGCTGCCGTACGCTGAGGTACGCCGGCGCAAAGTATGAACGCAGTCTCAGATAGCGGCATAAATCCGACCAGATTGTCTATGGAGATTTATTTTTGTGAAAAAAAAACCCGAAGATATGACACTCTCCCCACCTATTAGAGCAAATCACTGTGTAAATTCGTCTACCAAGTTTTCCAGGGTGAGTTTTCTAGCGATTCTCATACTGGGTATGGACTGTGTTTGCTATATATGATTATATATATTAATTATAGTTGCTTGTAGCCGTTGGACAATTGATGAGTGATTTGCCAAATCCGTCAGCAAGCGTTCAACCATCAGAATCAGACGATCTTGGTGTTATTCAAGAAACTGTTCTTCAGGACTCGTCCTCAGGTGTCGGAAACACCCAATCTGGATTTCTTTTCCGTCATCTTGATTTACTGGTGACGGCAATCTCTCAAAAGTACGATATTGAGAGACTTCAGGTTCTTGATTTCATATTTATCTTTCATTACTAAGTATTCGCGATCAACTGTGAGTACCAGGAAATATTCTCTTGCTTACATCAGGTTGTTGAGGAAACTATCGACATTCGTATTTCTTTCAAATCCAAAACCTAAATTCTAAAGAAGCAAAGCTATTCTGCACAGAAACCATCTCAGAGTGCACACTGCCGCACAAATTAGACACGTTTTCGAATTCCCACGAGATAGACATTTGGCGTTCTAGACCCCGTAGAGTTTTTTTTTTAACATCTTTGGTTTTCTACTGTATCTTCTGAAAAATATGTTTAACAGAAACTGACAGAGGAAGACCTGACGAATAGCGTGGGTAACTAAGAAGTCCACAGCCCGGATGGCCCAAGAAATTTTGAAATAGATTTCAAATCAGCATTCAAAAATACGCTTAGTAATAATTGCAACTGGATTTTTCATCAGTTTTTCTTTACAGGTTGGACTTGGTTTGCTTCTTCTATTCCTGCTAGTCTTTTTCTGCTTGTGCATAGCTATTGCTTGGCGATATTATTCACCCGTTATTGTAAACTACACTGTAAAAGAACAGGAGGAGCGAGCACGTAGAAACAGTGAGAAGGACAAACAAGAAAAGGAAAAGAGTGAGTTTCCTACGCGTGCCCTATCGCGAAATAATGAATTTTGAAAAGATGTACTGTTGAGAGCGCAAATAAACCTGTGTATAACTGCAAAATGACCGGTGAACGACGTTTCAATCCGTGCTAGCCCAGCTCTGGTTGTACAGTCATGTTCGCTGCGGTTGATAGGGCGTGTCAGTGAGGCTGTTTGGCACGGCGCCAGGCCTATTTTCCACCATTTCTCGAAGCGACTAAGCGGCTACAATCGGTGGAATACGACTGATATTAGATAAGGATGTGACTCAGTCTTGTCGCTTTCGCTTCACACTTGGTGGAAAGCGGGTTTGGGCTGCGCCACACCCATCCCTCAGGACAAACCCCATCACCCGCAGCAAGCGAGGCTTTCTGGTCGCTGTCTGTTCAGTATATGGATGGATGCAGAGAAGCGCTTCGATTCCCTGTTCGAATGTCGTGAATGTATATATCATAGTATTTACCAATGTTTACCCTAAATTCAGCAAACCACAGTGATTTCGCCTCTCGAAAACATAGAATGTCTGCTTCACTTAACAGTTCTCACCATTTATTTATTCATTTATTAAGAAAACGACTGAGCAATGGACGCTTTCAAAAACTTCCTCAAAAAGAAGAAGGTCGACAAACATTTCAAGCGTACCGGTGGCGGACAACGACTTGACTTAGTTCGAAGCTCTGGCGACCAAATATTACTGGCGCAGCAGGTATGCTCAAATTGCAAATATTTTGGCATTTCCTATGATTCTTGAAGAGAAGTACAGTTGTAATTTCTTAGCAATCTCTCATTGTAGGGTGGCGGCATTGACCGCGTTGCCGCTGCCGACGTTGCCGCCCAAGCAGCGCTGAAACGCCTCTATAAAGCGGAACCTCAGATTAGCAGCAGTCAGAAAAAGATCCAAATGATCGTACGGTTTGATTGTTTTTGCTCATGAAACTTTTTTGGTTAAAACCGTTCTCATCTACCTATCGTTCCAGATAGAATTAGGGGCCTTTTCCTTTTTTTCACTCATGCTATATCGTGATTACTTCATAACAACAACGCATTCAAAGAGGGGGATTCAAATGCCTGTATTCAAATGTCATCGACATCCCCCTCCACCCTAAAAATCTCCCGTTGAAAAATGAGTAGGATGATCATAGGTGGTGGTGGGAAGGCAGAGGGGTGTTGGCAACCTTTTTATCACTGAGAACAATAGTTAAATTTACACCTCAGTATGATATCAACACAATTCGGGTGAGGACGCTGAGAGAGAAGGAAACCAAAGCGCTCTGTCCAAATTCTTCCATGTGCATAGTCTTACTTTGCGTCGCGACGAGCGCTACAGGAGGACTTGCATGTCGGATGGCGTGCCTGGCCAAGCTGTCATTCCGTTTAACATTGCCGGACGCTGCTGGCCGTAATTGCCACCCTCACCAAGCCCCTGTAGCCGTCCCCTTGGTTCAGACAACTTGTCCAAGCCATTCATCACATTTTTGCATAATTGTTCGACCTATACTGGCAAGATGCCAGCACCCTGCGAAGAGGGCCGATGTGCGCCCTAGAACCCAGTTCACCACATACCATTTTGTGTCGACTCATCTCTCTCCTCGCTCTCTCTCTCTCTCTCTTCTCTCATCTCTCTTCTCTCTCTATCTCTCTCTCTCTCTCTCTATCTCTCTCTATATATTACTATTATTAGGTTGTCCGGAAAGTTCTCAGCGTTTTGTGCACCTATTTTTTGTACATTCACTGCTGATTAAAAACTCATTCTGCCTTGCTTCTCAGTAGCACATCCTGTAGAGAATTTCTTGCGCTATCTGATGGTATAATTGCCGTTTCACCATTGCTTGATAAACCCCTTTTTTCAAGATTTTTCAAGCATGTGAAAAGAGCACTTCGGACGATTTTTTCTTCGACTATAAATTGGGGCAATCCGCAATCGAAACAGCTCAACAAATTAACCAGGTGTGGGGCCCAATAGTGCTAGAGAAAGCACTGTGCGGCAATGGCTCAACAAATTTCGTTCTGGAGATTTCAGCCTTGAAGAACCTCATAGCGGTCGACCTAAAGCAATATCTGACGAGGATTTTAGGGGGATTTTGGAGGCTGACCCATCCCAAACAGTTCGAGAGATAGCAGAAGAGCTAGGCCTTGGCAAATCCACTGTTGCAGTCATCTGGTTTTGAAACGCTGGAAGGTGAAAAAACTCGACAATTGGGTGCCCCACAATCGGAGTGACCGGCAGGAATCGGCACGTCTCGAGGTTCCTTCTGCATTGCTTTTGCGCAGCAGAAACGACCTGTTTTTGGCCGAATTGTCACCTGTGATGAAAATGGGTCATGTATGATAACAGGAGACGTTCCAGACATGTTCGTTAGTTTCTCGGCACGAACCACGAGAACTTTTCAAAGCCGCACCCTCACGAAAAAAAAGATTCTGCGGTAACGGCTTGGTGTCATCGCTGGCCGGTGAATCAACTATATACTTTTTCATACATCCAGGTCAAACCATTCACAGCCAGAACCCGACTGTGAAGAAATTCGACGAATGTACCGAAAATTTTGTCAGATGCAGCCAACACTTATCAAAAGAAAGGGTCCGATTCCTTTGCATGACAACGCCCGCCCACACGTTTCACAAATCACTATCCATAAATTGAACGAATTGGGGGTTGAAGTTCTACCTCAACCGCCATATTCTTCAGACCTTTCGCCAACCGACTATCACCTTTTCTAACATTTTCAGAACTCCCTTGCTGGAAAATACTTCATCAATCAGGACCAGGCAAAAAAGCCTTCGTGGATTTCGTGAATTTTCGACCACCCAGTTTTTTACTTTGATGGGATTTCTCGACTGCTGTCACATTGGCAAAAGTGTGCTGATTCGAATGGTGCCTATTTAATCCGATGAGTATTAAAAAAGTTACGATCGTTTAAAGTGAAACACCCAAAACGCTGAGAACTTTCCGGACAACCTAATAACTCTTAAACCTGCAATTTTCACACACAAGTATCCACCTGTATACATAGATGGCCCCGTGTATTATTACCTACCATCCCGTTCCTGTGATTTATCAAGCAGAGCAAGTGACAGGGTGGCGACAAGCAAAATACCGTTCTCGTAGGTAAGTGTACAGTTCGACTACTGGATACGAGGATGTAAGATGTCAGTGTCAACTGCATGACAAGTGGTGCGACTGCACCCTGAGAGAGAGAGAGAGCAGGAAACAGCGGGCGAGAGAGAGCACAACGGCTTTATCACCACTACATAGACAGATTGGTCCAGCTTAGGCCTATTAGGTGCTCATATGCAGGTAAAGGTCAAGCTTCTTGCGCATTTAAAGCCTTGGATGTGGTACATCTCCTGCCATTGTGGACCGGACCACGTTCACATTCAAGGGATTCCAATATTGGGTAATCGTGGTGTGTGTTTTTGAAGAGCGTGGAACAGGTCACTTATGACTTCTGATGAGAATTGGCCAACAACCAGTTTCTCTCCAAAAAAGCGTACCGTTCTTAGATGGGCATGTTGTCCTGTCATTTCACTTTTTCGAGTCTGGTGCAGCGTTTTCGCAGTGAGGACTCTTGTGGGACCTTTTTCTGGCCAGGATCAGGCCCGAAAATCCAGGGGAACTTGTGACAGCTTTTATCAAAAACTCCGGATCGACAGCTTACGTGCTACCTGTCGGGATGTAAGATAATCAGTAAGTGCAAAACTCGCAGGATTCTATTGTTTTATAAAAAGGAGAGTTTGTACGAATTAGTAATTATCGCCCAATACGCCTTCTGTTAATGGTCTTCCAGGGTCAGGGTGAATTTTCTCATTTTTCCAGTTGCTATGCCATTCTAGCCCGGAACTGTAGATGTATAGAGTAAGATGCCGATGCTGAATCTGTTTCCCTTACATTAGAAAGGCAGCAGTTACTGCTTATGTACAGTGCCTCAGTTTTCTACGCACTTTCATCTAGAGCTTTACCAGTTCAGTAGTACGCTGAGCCTACCGTAGCCATGGCTCTTTCCTCTCGTTCGTGACTCATTCACTCAATAGTTCTCAGTTCAGGCGCAGCGCGAACTTGAAGAAGAGAGACGGCGACAACAGCAACAACAACAGCCCGATGTATCAAATCTTAAGTTAGAGGAGAAGAGGTAAGCAAAGGTAAAAAGGAAGATACACGCAGCTCGCAAAGTTTTTTGCGTACCTTTTAAAAAAATGAAATGCTCACCTATTTTGACTGCCCTCCGCAGCTTTACTAGCGAAGCCCTAACTGTTTTTCTTACGACACAGTCAAAGTTTGACTTCATGAATTGCAGAATTGTAGCGTGGGCAAGTAGATATCAGCTTGTTTTCGAATTAGTCGGGATGACTTCATCAAAGAAATCCTCACAGCCGTACCCGTAAATTAGCAAAACTATAGGTTGGAAAGAAAGTCCTGTCACTGTTGTGATTTTTTTCTTTTTTATTTTCTAACTCAACATGAAATAAAAACTAATCAATAATATAATCGCCATTGTTAGCCACTACAGTGCTCCACCTAATGGGCAACTCAGCTATCCCCTTCTCCCAGAACTGAGGAGGCTGCGAGTCGAAGAAGTAGGCAACTTCTCGATTGATGCCATCAAATTCGCTGAAGGTTTTCTTACCTAGGAAAGCCTTGAGGGAGCGGAACAAGTAGTAGTCGGAGGGGGCTAGGTCTGGAGAATATGGTGGATGGGGAACGGTCTCCCAGCCTAGCTCCTCAATTTGTCGGTGGGTCTCTTTAGCCACATGTGGTCTGGCGTTATCATGGAGGAGGTGCACCGAAGCTCGTCGGCCGCTTTTCTCGAAGAGCTTGCGCGAGTTTCTGGAGTTGGGCGGCGTAAACGGTAGCGGTAACCGTATGCCCTTGCGGAAGCAGCTCGTGGTGCAGCATGCCCTTCGAATCCCAGAAGCAGCAGAGGAGGACCTTCTTGGAGTGCAGGTTCGATGGGTTGCGTAGGCGGGTCTTCTCCTCGAGGGAGCCACATGGCACGACGTAGGTTGGAATCATAGAGGACCCAGCTTTCATCTCCAGTCACAATATCTTCCAGAAACTCCTTCCGGTTACGGTGTAGAAGGAGGGATCGACAGATGCTCACCCTGACATGGTGACATGGACACAGGTATCCATCGCGTGAGGACTTTTCTGTAGCCAAGGGCCTGAAGGCGGCTTAGAGCTGTTGTATGGCTACACCCTAGCCTTGTCGCAATACTGCGCGTGGTAGCCTCTGGATCCTCTCTGACAGGTTCGAGAACGGCGGAATCTTCTACGCCGCGAGGGCGTCCCAGACGAGGTTTGTCTTCGAAGATCGTCTCTCCTTTCGCGAAGCGAGCGAACCAACGGTGGACAGTCCTGACGGTGGTGGTGTCCTCCCCCAATGCACAGTTGATGTTACGGGCCGCTGCCGTCGCTCCAGTGCCGCGGCGCCACTCATAGAAGATGATCACTCGAAGCTGCTCCAGTGAAACTGACATCATAAATAAACACAGGGAAGAGCAGGAGCCTTGATATACCTCTTGTGGAAAAGCTTCGAGAATGTTCTACAACCTTAGCATGTTACGTCATGTTCGAGCTTCGAAGATCAAAAACTGTAGGCTATCTAAAAAACACTGACAGGACTTTCTTTCCAACCTATAATTAACTTTGAAGTCCTGCCAAGTTTCGGGTACTACATGATACCAATCTGATATGAAAACTGTGGAATTTGGGGTAACGATACTATATGTTGAGCATGTCAACCTTCTTGAACTACGCAGATAGGCATGCCTGAGTTTGTTGTCTGTGGTGTGCTTTTGTTGTGGTCATAAAACACAGGACAAAACTTTCCACAAGTGCACTCGTACGCGCGTTCTGTCAAAGGCCTAAAAATAAAGCTGTGCGGGTTTGATTCCTGATCAAATCAGGATACTACGCGTTATGATCGTGGATCTACAAAACATGTGGCGATGCATATTTTATGTTTATAGCCGTAAGTTTCGTATTCAGGAGTGGTCCAGACATACGAGAATTCGAGCATGCAGATGTGATAAAAGGAGTGTACTTCACTTGCGAATTACTCGGCGATGATGAAGCAATGACCAAGCCTGAAGTGCGTTACACCAACTTTTTTTCTTCTTTTCTGTAGTCACAAAAAGGCTTCATTATAGTTAATGCAAGCCCTTGAAGAATTCCTCATGTCTCAGTTACATTGTGAGGATGAGGACGCGGTCGTCCCCGCTGTTCTCCTTCTCTATTCTTTGAATAAAAAGCCAGCCAGAGAGGTAAGCTTTCCCACTTAATTGAACTGCTTGAATGAATGTATATGTGCATCTCATCGTCAGTGTGTAGGTCGCTGTAGAAACCATTGGAAAGTATCTACAAAATATTATCGAAAATCCTGGAGAAGCGAAATACAGAAGGATAAGAATGTCCAATAAAGTCTTCCAGGTACGTTTGTTACTTGTAGTTCGCAATTTTTCTTTGCTCGGCTATATACATGTGCGAGAACGAAAACTTACTTCGAACATCTAGATCTCTATTTCTAACCTTCTAAGCGAATTGAGCTTTTGTGGCTGATCAGTTTCGCCACTTATTGAGACTGTTTAAATGAAGAAAATCATCTTGTGCGGGTCTAGCAGCACTCCAGCTCGGTACAGTGACGAACAGGAAACTAGTGAGACATCATAGATATCTGCACGTAATGCGTGGCATATGCTTTGGTTTCACTAAATCGCACATGGGTCAATAAAAGCTGATTCAGCATTGCGTACTAAACGAAGCTTCTTGCGGATGTTTCTGGCCCACGCGAACGATTTCATAATGCTCCTGCACAGCTGGTGGGGTGCTCCTCTGCGCTTTTATTCTCTCGCTCATATGATTTGCCAGGCTGTGTTGAGTGATTAATGGATCCATCACTTTTTGCTCGGCTATACATTCTCGGCTTCTGCTGTTGATTTATTATAGAAAATGTATTTCTCAGGAAAAAAATAGTACTGCTAGCACAGCAGCAGCCTGAAATAACTCATACAAGAGTGCCCAGCTTCTCTCTTCATAAAACCTCGGCATTATTGTGAACTTTCAAGTTGTAATGTATTCTGCCAAAGAGGTTGGTAGGTGGAAGACTTTATTGAACATGGCCTGACGTTTCGACGTTTTTGAAAGTGTGGAACTACGCGCCAAACGCTCAAAATGCTGGCGCACGTTTGGAACGCTTACGAAAATGAACGGCCGTACATTTGAGCTAACAAATCATGATACTTCCGCTCGAGCAAGTGCAAAGGGCAATCGGGGAAAATGTCATCTGCTCGATTATAAAGATTCAAGTAGCGTCCAAACGAGTTACTCCGTTATTCTATGTGGATCGCCTCCAGCTAGGTGTAGAAGAGTGCGTTTGGGTACGTTTGGCGGTGTAGAGGGTGCAACATCTAAACCTTGAGCTATGCTTAGGCCTTTGAGGACGACGATCCTGTCGAAACGAAACGCATTAACGTTTCTTTTTGAGAAGTTAGAAGTTGAATGCCAGTTTAGTTTCAGTGGAAATGCATTACACACTATAATAATTTAGTAAAAAATGCTAGCTGGAGGCGATGCACTAAGAATAGCGGAGTAACCCGTATTGGACGCTACTTGAATCTTTATAATCGAGCAGATGACATTTTCCCCGATTGCCCTTTGCACTTGCTTGAGCGGGAGTCTCATGATTCGTTAGCTCAACTGTAAGGTCGTTCATTTTCGTCAGCGTTTGGAGCGTACGGCAGCGATTGTAAAGTATATACAACTATCTAGCGTTCCAAACGTGCGCCAGCGTTTTGAGCATTTGGCGCGTAGTTCCCAACTTTTCGCAGGCAGTCGCTGGCACACCGCTGGCGTACGCTGGAAGCGCTCGAAACGCTAACGCACCATGAACGCAGCCTAATAGAGGGAACACCCACTTGTGAACACACCTGAGCTTGGCGAGCTGTAGACCCAGATGTACTTTTTTGTATGTCGAAAGGTTTCCTGTGAAGTTTGGGATAAGTCAAGAAACATGGTGTTAACCAATCTTCCTGTGAGGACGTCCGTATAATACGCTGACAAGACGAGCTGTTCATCACCTTTTGACGTTGGAACCGCTATAAAATGTGTCTTTTTCTTCAAACAAACCAGCCGAGCAAAATAGTAGTCCACTCTAACCTTGCAAGATCCCTTTCATGACTGTCAAGCAAATTTAGGAACGAGTGGCTAGCGTGAAGGGTGGAGTACAGTTTCTGAATGCTGTTGGATTCAAAGAGTCAATGGAACCGTTCAAAGAAGGAGACGCTCCTGAATCATTCCTTGTTATTTCCGAAAACAGCGCTAGTGATACAGGACGTCTAGTCACCGCTTTGTCAATGCTACAGGATGGACAGAGCGTCCCAATTAAGGTGTCACGTGAAACAACGGTTAGTATCAGCTATCATTGTAGGCGTCCACCGTCAGTTCTAGATCTTTTTGATTTCTAGTCGTTTACTGTTTACTCAATGCTTCGTTAAAGATCTACCGTGTCGGTGAGAATGAGCGCATCCCAATGCCGCGGTTACCTGCAGATTTTTTCGACCTCACCGCTGAAGAAATTCGTCGTGAGCAACAGCTAAAAGCAGAGGAAGTCGATAGAGTAAGCTCTTTACTTGCGAGTTACTGCCATTTTTGTCCTCCGATAGCTGATTCTATGATTGACGTTAGGTTGGAGAGAAAATCCCGCGACACTTCGATTGAATTGTGGATCCCGATCAGGGAATGTGATTGTACCCAGCTTATTCGCCAAAGTCAGCAGCCTTTAATTGCCATTAATATGCTCCTTTGATCCCTACTGCACCTTTCAAGAGGCAAAAACTTCGAAAATCGACGTCTACTCGAAAATGAGGTCCACCTCTTCTTTTTATCGTAGTTGCCGTAGTTCTACAAGAGTGGAAATGAGAAGCTGTGCAAAAGGTGGGCACTAGTCCTAGTCATTATGGTGATTACCTTGTAGATTGGAGGTGTCTTTTAGTGAAGAAAATTTAGTCCGAAAATTTGTCAAAGTGTCGCAGGACATCCTTTCCAACCTAATAAATATGTAAGGTCGGCGAGTGCCCTGCAAAGTTGCAACTAGCGGCCGCTGAGACACTGACCCATGACCCATAATTCGTTCTTTCTTCACTCTTTTCGCTTCATGCTTCTGCCGCTGTTTCCCTTTGACGCCTTTTTCTCGGACGGGACAAATTTCATTTATCTTCCTTTTGGAATACATTTCTACGAAATTTTGATGCCAACGGTAGTTTGACCTTTAAACGCAAGCATACACGATGACAGCTGATATGCAGATGCCCCTGAGCCACAGCACCGTTCTGGCGCCGGTGCCTATGGCTCCATCGGTTTGCGTTTTTCCTCAAAGACAAACGTACGCTCGTACCTTGGCATGCCCGGGGCTAACGAGCCCCCAGCTGTCGAAGCGTAGCGGTTTCCCCGTCCGAACATGCGCGGGGATGGGGATCCAGGACCGTGGGAAAGGCTAATTCCTCGCTCCGCCTAGAATGCAACTTGCGGCGCAGACCCCCGATCCCGTTTATATTAGGTTGTCCCAAAAGTTCGTGGAACTTTCGAACATTTTTTCGAGTTAAGTTTATTCCAGTGGGAAGCAATTTTGATCAACTATATATATGTCACCTTCATTGGCAACTTGTTGCCAATCACTACGCAATGTGTGGTTGCCCTGCTTCCAGAAGCCTCTTAGTTCTGTGCCCAGAAAGGCAGCTGGGTCATTTTTGAGGTACTATCAAAAATCGTATTTTTACCCAGAAGATGGCCGCTGTGGGATTAGTTTAGATGGTGATCGGAAAGAGCTAAGTCAGGGCTACACGAAGACTGTGGTAGAATTCCCCAGCTAAGTTGCTGAGTGGAGGGCCCTTATAAAGGTACTATTGGAGTGGAGGAGGAAAATAGCCGCGAATGGGGTCTTACTTGAGGCACGTTGAGAATGAGCGGTTCTGAGCGGCTTGTCGGGACGGTTCTTCAACGATCAGAGTGGTGTTTAGCCACAACGATCGGATGACCTAGTTTGAAATGAAAAGTGCAAATTTTTGGCCAGTTAAGATATGCTCGGGAGAAGGATGGCCGATCCACTGTTATTTCTATTGCGGAAGCGGTATGAATTCTTCCCGTCCAATTCAAAAATTCCCACGCATTTAGGAACACCCTTCTTTTAGAACAAAATTTGCTTCGAGTTCCAGATGGAACCTCTTCACAATGTGGTGTGCCTCTATACCAACGGAGAAAGTCTCCCTATACGTCCAGAATAGTGTTGATTTTTCTCCACACAGCAAGTTACTGCTTATCATGTTGCTGTGAGTATCCAAATCCGAGGCGCACCGCGCTATAGGTCAGTACCTAACGTATCCGAGACCGTTTTTGCAACAACATCTCGATTTCAACTACAACCGTTCAGTCAGGAGCTAAAAATGGCAGCAGACCTCGGAATGAAGCGGAATACATTTGAAATGAAAAGTGCAAATTTTTGGCCAGTTAAGATATGCTCGGGAGAAGGATGGCCGATCCACTGTTATTTCTATTGCGGAAGCGGTATGAATTCTTCCCGTCCAATTCAAAAATTCCCACGCATTTAGGAACACCCTTCTTTTAGAACAAAATTTGCTTCGAGTTCCAGATGGAACCTCTTCACAATGTGGTGTGCCTCTATACCAACGGAGAAAGTCTCCCTATACGTCCAGAGTAGTGTAGATTTTTCTCCACACAGCAAGATACTGCTTATCAAGTTGCTGTGAGTACCCAAATCGGAGGCGAACCGCGCTATAGGTCAGTGCATTACATATCCGACCATACATTTTCCAACAACATTTCGATTTCAACTACAACCGTTCAGTCAGGAGCTAAAAATGGCAGCAGACCTCGGAATGAAGCGGGAATACATTTGAAATGAAAAGTGCAAATTTTTGGCCAGTTAAGATATGCTCGGGAGAAGGATGGCCGATCCACTGTTATTTCTATTGCGGAAGCGGTATGAATTCTTCCCGTCCAATTCAAAAATTCCCACGCATTTAGGAACACCCTTCTTTTAGAACAAAATTAGTTTCCAGTTCCAGATGGAACCACTTCACAATGTGGTGTGCCTCTTCATACCAACGGAGAAAGTCTCCCTATACGTCCAGAATAGTGTTGATTTTTTTCCACACAGCAAGTTACTGCTTATCAAGTTGCTGTGAGTATCCAAATCGGAGGCGCACCGCGCTATAGGTCAGTACCTAACATACCCGAGACCGTTTTTGCAACAACATCTCGATTTCAACTACAACCGTTCAGTCAGGAGCTAAAAATGGCAGCAGACCTCGGAATGAAGCGGGAATACATTTG